AGGGAGAATATAAAAATGATCTCTAACTTTTTTATCGAAAAGTGATCATGGTTATTTTTAATTAAATAAATTTTATTCAATTTTTTTTAACCTTCATTTTTTTGATGTCCGAACAAATTTAATTTTAACATGGAAAATATGCCTCGGTAGGTTTGTTTACTTATTTTTGTTCATGGCTACCTAGCTAGGTATAAACAGGTAAGTGAATACAGCGATATGTCAACTAATAAAAATTGATATCAGACGAAAGATAATTAATTAAGAAAATAACAGTGTAGGCTTGCCTGCAAAAAACTGTTCAAATATTGTCTAAAACATTTGCCAAGTCATTTATGTACAGAATAAATAGAATGATACTGATTTGCGGAAGTAAACAAACACTTTATTTCACTGTAAAATTAAATATTTTATTTGTCTGTAATATTTATCAGCACAGCCATAGCCGTCTGACAGAAATAGTATATAATTGATTTGTTTTGTAGACGCTGTAATTTTTCTAATTGTTTACTTTGTCATTCTAAAATGTAATGTTATAATATCTCCTTTTTTATTAATTATAATTATTTACGGTTGGCGATAAAAGTTTGTATGAACTACGTCAGCAAAATATATTTATCGAACACGCCTGTTACTCGCTTCTCTTGCTCGGTTCATAATCTCAAACTGGTTCGATAAAGAACCACATGACTAACTTAGTACATAAATAACTAGTATAGCAAAAAATCTGGAATCTCATGATATAAATAGAACTTCCATATTAAAATAGTAGTTTGTACAATAAGTGCATTGTTCAAATAAAAAGTGCTTATGAGGTTATTCTCTATAATTTTTATTATATTCATTATTTTCTTAAATTGGTCCGTATTGGAGAAATTTGACAAAAAGTGCAAAATTCTAATTTTAAAGAAAATACTTCAAATAAAAGTTGCTTACTGTGTAATTATCTATAATTTTTGTTTCATACATTTCTTTAAAATGGACCGAATTCAGGAAATTTGAGGTAAAGTATAAAATTCGAATTTTTTCATTATTTTTACTTATAATACCACTAATGCTCAAATTATTCCCGGAAATATTTTAGAAATTGCGATTGTTTTGAAAATAATCCCGATATCATGTTCTATAATTTTTGTTCTACACATGATTTCTCTAAAATAAACTGTAATGGAAAAATCTTCAATTTTTTTACATCGACTAACTTTTCAATGCTCACTATCTGTTAAAAACAAAGCTTCTCTTAAATTCTCGATAATTCATTACGATATCATTACTACCTGAATCAGACTGTAATGAAAATTAGGGTACATAAACTACCCAGGCAGCACACTTTGGTATAAATTACATATTTTTTTACGTATGAATACGGTTGATGTACTACCAAATATATTCGTGAAAATGTCCGCCTAATAAACGTCGATTACTAAGAATTTATCCACCTATAATTAAACGTTTTTACTATACGTCTATATTAGATTTATAGTTGTAGTATATTTATACGAATTCACTTTGGTATAAAATACGTTTTTTTATGTACTACAATATACGTATGGATACTGTTGATATGCTACCCAATATATACGTGAAAATGTCCGCCCTATAAACGTATTTTTTTTTTATTTTTTATACGTCTAACATTACTACTTTATCTACGTTTAATTATCCTGTTTTACTATACGTCTATATTAGATATATTTGTATGATTTTTATTAATGTGTAAAATGCGTCTGCCTGAAAACAAATTAAATAAAGTGATCAAAACAAAATTTCTAAAAGAGACCATAGAAAAATGTTAATATTTCTTAAATGATAGTTTGGATTTTATCCATAGCAGGTGTGTATACACCAAAAATAGACATTACTCGTGTTTCTATTTTGGTTGTAATTGGCCTAAATATTTAGAAAAAATTTTTGATCACTTGTTATATGTACAGATCAGTATTTAATTTAAAAAAAATAAACAATAAAATATTAAAAAATAAATAAAAACAAAAAAATAAACACTAAAATACTGAATAACAAACTAAACGAAACTTTTCGTTAACTAACAAAAAATATACATGAAAATAAAAATCCAAGCTTAACACTTTGGATGTGTTGTGTCCTAGACGGGCCTTAGCTAATCTTGCATAGCACACCTAATCGTTCGGTCGGTTAAGTCGCTTGGTTCACCCCCATATTCCTATAACCAAAATGTAACAATTTCAGGTGAAATATTTTCTAAAAGCTCCGAAGTTAAATTTGTATTATTTTCTTGGAAATTATTATAAATAATAGAATCAGATGATATATTAATGTCCGAAGCCTTATTAATGTTATCTTCATTGGGAATAAAAAAAAAATTGATTTGACTTTAAAGCATCTTGAACATTTTGTACTATTTTTCTACATAGATGACGCAGAGAAAGGGTTATTTTAGACATTTTATTAAATAAAAATCAACTGACCAAAAAAAAAAGGAAAATAAGTATGCTTGGAATAACTAGGTAACCTAAAGAATACGTATAAAAATAAAAGAAACAAAAGTAAGGTTATGTTTTGAAGTTTCTCTAAAACAGTAGTTGTAAAATGCAACAATTATTAAAGGAGTAGCTAAATTAAAACATTAATAGAAACTTACCTATGCTTTTAATCAATATCGTAAAAGCCAGCACGTCAAAGCAACATATACAAAACGTGTACACAAATGATAATGGACGAACCGATGAACCTGCTCCCACAAACCATTCCCTACACTGAACAATAATACTACACGTCATCCTCCATCCGCCATCTAAAAATAGTTCCATGTGTATGGGGAATTTGTTATAAATATTACAGGTAATATAATTAAAAAAATATAGATATAATGTAAATAAATATATCTATAAGCTTTTAATTTAAATAAACCTAAATATATACATATTATTTACTTATGTCTACTAGTTCATCGTAAACTGGTATTATGCGTTTAAGGTGACTTATATTTAAACGTAGAATAATATAGGTATATTAATCAGTATCGACAAACAAAAGCGTTTAATTTATCTGTTAAAAAACGTTAAGTATAAAAATGGTAGATGATAAACGTTTAAAAAATCAACCAAGACGAAATTTAAACGGGAATTATAAACAAAGAAAACATATTGTAATATAATGTAAATTTATACGAATTTAATTTAAATAAACCTAAACGTATATTTAGGCCCACTGTATATAAATAGTTCATCGCAAACTAAAAATAGTCGTATATTGTTAACTACATTTAAACGTAGAAAAATTTACAATTATATACCATAGGATGTACATAAAAAACGTATAATATATCGTTTAAAACACGGTATGTATAATAATCGTAAACTGTAAACGTATACGGAATCAACCATTACCAAAATTAAACGAGTATTACGTATAAAATACGTTAGTTATACTAATGTGTGCTGCCTGGGTATAGTCAAATTTAATATCCCGTTGACGCCCGATTTGCGAATTCACAGGTACACAATTTTGGAGGGCGCCCGAGTTGCGACGAATTCAGGTAGTTTTTCATCACGCTCGAGTTGCTAACGCACGAGTTGAGAAAGTACCTTACAACAAGATTTGGCACAAACAATTATAATCGATTAACTTTCTTCTGTAATAACCGTTATCAAATAAGTGGTATTTCTTAAAAAAAAAACTAGTCATAGAAAAACTCTCTAATTTTGGAAAATATTTTTTGCAGGATAGATGATACGCTAGTGAAAAAAATTATATACTTTTATAGGAATAATCAAAAAATATAGGGTACCTAAAAAAATGTTTATTTGACACATTTAATAAATTAACTATTAATATATTTATTATATCACCCTGTAGTCAATGAACTGGATAATTGTACATATCGTAAATACACAAAAGTCCCGTAAAAATAGTGCGCTTCACATTAATACTCATAAACAAATATATTGGCCTATGTCGATATTTACGAATCACCCTGTATAAATGACACCTAATATATTTTGTAGTATCATAAATATAGCAATAATTTATTTTTTAGTAAATATTTTCACCTTCTAAAACAATAAAAGTAGGTATATCAAAACCATGTCCTTACTTATTTGTGCCCTACCCTGTGAAGGAAAATAATTTTTGACACCTTTTTATATTCGTAGAATGTCAAAAGATGTTTGTTACAATAAGATTTTGCACAAAAAAATAAAACCGACTAGTTTTCACCTGAAATAACCGTTATCAAATAAGTGGTATTTTTTATGTTTGACTTCCTGTATCTCAAAAACGAGTTATAGGATTCGAATGGTCCCATAGACACTATTGCTTAAGAGATCCAGAACTGCAACATATCAAAAATTTCTTACATTTAACAGATCGCCACTTTTCCATAAGCGGTGTGCGCGATCCTTTGGGAATTATATTAAGAATAGTGCTGCTGAGGAATGCATTTGTTTTAATTATGATATTTTAAAATTTAAAGACTTTTTTTTCTTGGAAACTAGAAGGAATTAAAACTTTTTAATGTATGCGTATTGTAGATATTATTGCCTAATTTATTTTGCCAATCTTTTAATTAAAAAAAAATACTTTTTGGGATATGCTTGTCCGAAAATTATAAGGAGTGCTGTAATCACCTCAATAAAAACAAATATTTTTTCATACACAACAATTTTATTGTTCTAAAATTAAAGACAATTTTAAGAAAAACTTTATGACTCACATTGTTATAATTATTATTATCCTATAAGTATTTCTTAAATATATTTAATTATCTCTAACATTCAGGTACCTGAACGTCCTTTACTCTTTAATTTGTTTTTGTTAATAATGGAATAATAGTGATTTTAAAATCTAATTAACTGGAAAGGTGGCAATTTAAAAACAGTACTTAAATCAATCAAATTGTAGGGATAATCTTAATCCCTTCGGAAAAGTATAAAACCCAGAATATAAAATCAAATTGTACATACTATATTGTGAAGTTGAATCTCCAATATCTGACTGAATATTTACTTAATTTTTGAAATACAATGGCATCAAAAGATTTGTGGCGCCCATGGCTGACTGATAATGAAGAAGTTCTAATGGATCAAGAAAATGACAATAATCCCGAATTAAACAAATCGGAAAATATAGGTAATGAAGAATTAAACTGTGGTAGAAAAAGGATACACTTGAACCAGAATGTAAAAATAATGATAAAGAACCTATTTAATTGTGAGTATATTTTTATTTTTGTATGTATTTTTTTAAATATCTAATAGTTTTTATTTGTTAATATTTTTAATATTTTCATTTGTATCATTAATAATAACTAGAATACTTGGCATTCTATATTATGCTTTTCACAGTTTGGCAACCTAATTTTACCTCACAGTAAATTTAACTTAAAGGTAATTTTTGAGTATTTTCTGATATTTTTTTTTTATATTTTTGGGAAGTTTTTAGGTATTTTTCGGGTATTTTTTTGGTATTTTTTTTTGGAAATTTTCAGGTATTTTGGGTATTTTCAGGGCTTATTCATAAATAATTACGTCACATGATTTTCGGGGTTTTTTGACCTCCCCCTGTCCTTGTCATAACTATTCACATTTGCGAGACTCCACCCTCTACATATTTTGCAATTTTACAACTAGAAATTATTAAATTAAAATTATTTTTAAGGTTTCTGTTAATAGTTCAAATTTCGTATTTTAATACTTAGATTTTCAAATGTGACGTTACGAAATTTAAGACCCCTTCCACCCCTGGCCTTGTTACACAATGTTTATAATTTACAGATATTTAAATAATAAAAACTATTTGATAAATTTAATTTGAAGTTATATTTTCTAGTCAATTTCACGTAATAATTATTTCAATAAGTTAATATTACGACTTTAACCAAGTCGTGTTATAGCTTAAGTATAATATAGAAAATGTTTGCTGGACCTTATCTCCCCATGTTTAGTTTATTTGCTTGATTTTTACAAAAAGTTCATGTTCATATCACTGTTGGTTTTAATTTAGTAATTTTTTTAATTTTAAGTTGAGGGGGGCTTAACTCCCATTTTCATTCAATTTTTTTTTTTTATCAATAAACTATTTCCCTTTATAGATCTTAATTGTTGCTCAACATTTCAAGTTGACATTCTTTCGTGTTTTAGTTTGAATTTTTTTTATTTCAACCCCCTCTGTCCCCCATTTTTATTCAGATTCTTTTTTTTTAAATAAACAGGCTTTTCTCTTATATAGAGTTTGATATCTGCTAAGTATTTCAAGTTAATATCACTCTTTAGTGTTTGAGTTAGGATTTTTCTTTTAATATTAACTCTCCTTAACCACATAACTTTTTCGGAGTTTTACAAGTTTTATTTAAAATCAATCTGCCGTGCAAACGAAGAACCTAGTAACTCTAAAAAGTTAATTTTTGGATAAAAAGAGTTACACATGTTTTTTACTAATTTTGTTAGTTTTAATTTAGGAGACAAATGAATGAAATTTGGCATATTATAATAAAAATATAATTTTAAATATATTAGAAAGAAACAAAGTTATATACGTCGTTAAACTCTTATTAAACTCCAATGTTTTTGGCAACGTAAAAACCTAATAAGTTAAGTTACAGTAAAACACTACTAAATATCCTGCTCAAAAACCTATTGAGTCAAGTTATAGTAATTTATTTCCAAAAAAATGTTACCCAAAAACTTCTTAAGTCTAATTAAATTCAATTATTTAAAAATAATTTCATAGAAAAACCAATTAAGGCAAGTTACAATTACAAAAAGATGCCACCTAAAATCCTATTATACAAACATGCAGTTATTTCAAACTACCAGTTTTATTAGTGTCTATTTAGATAGACTCTCCTAATAAAAATATTTACCATCTACTTACTTAAAAAATAGCTACTGCATTTTCATTTTTTTTTTTCTACAAAATAACTGAAACTATCTTTAAATATAATAATTTGATTATACAAAAATAATACTAAAACAAGTATGTAATAACTCGTTATTCATTTCAAAATAAATTTAACTTCTTTCATTTTTTAAAAAGTCATAAAAATATATAATAAATCTAAAAAAATATAGAAAGAAAATCATATACAAATTTTCAAAATTGAAAAGTGTTGATCATTCGAGCTTAACAAAATTTTCCAAAAGAGTTGTTTACTAGGTGAACATATGTAATAATACGAGTAACTCTTTTGTTATAATGTTTAACTTATTTGTATTCAATCCTGTAGGATGTAAATGATTCCTGCAAAATAAATTTAAATTTTGAATGTAAGAATGCTACTTCTGAGAATTCTTCTTCTAATAAGAGTTTGTAAAATTACTTTTTTGATCCTTTTCTAAATTGCACTGATCTATCATTTAATTTGGCAGAACAGAGTCTTTATTCCTTTGCATGCAGTTATTTTCAATTTTTTTTTAAATCTTTAGCTTTACTTTACGTCATAAATAATGTATTCATCAAAAAATAGTGTTTCCTTAGAATAGTCGATATTTTTAAAAGAGTCAAAAATACAGGGTGTTTCATAATATATGCGCAGGACTTTAGGACGTGATAGCTCGTCCAAAAATATGAAAAAACGTTTCTATTAACTTACCCTCTAAAATGCACCATTTTCGAGAAACAGGATGTTGAAATTAAAAAAAAAATTCTACGCTACTGGAAAAAGTACGGTTTTGAAACGCCTATTTGAACCGCCAATGTTTTCTACACAAAAAAGGTACTCTTGGTCATACGGTCGACTTTAAAGCGTACGACCAAGAGTACCGTTTTTGTGTAGAAAACATTGGCGGTTCAAATGGGCATCTCAAAACCGTACTTTTTCTAGTTACGTAGACATTTTTTTTTTCAATTTCAACACCCTGTATATCGAAAATGGTGCATTTTAGAGAGCAAGTTAATAGAAACGTTTTTTCATATTTTTGGACGAGCTATCACGTCCTGAAGTCCTGCGCCTATATTATTATTATATTGGCTTTGAATAGTATTTTTTTCTGGAAGCATTTTTTTCTCCAACTTTTTTTACAAGGCGATAAATTTGCAACATTTTTTAATCTATTTTTAGTTTTCTTTCAAATTTTTGGTAAAATTTGATCCTTTCTTCCAATATTTTGTCTATTTCTATGATTGTTAGTTCACTACTTTGTGAAGAGTTTAATAATTTTAATTACGTTCCTTTACAATTTTATTTAATCAATTATTTATCCAATAGGTTACCTGAAGCAAATGAATAAAACATCGGCGATAAGAGAAACTGCTAGAACATCAAAAATTTCACGAGCAACGGTTTATAGGATAGTTAAGTACGGACCGTATGCGAGAAAGGAAAGAAGTGACAAAGGAAGCTTCCGATCAATAGACAAATCACTTATAGATAAAATAAAGTACGTCATTGCGGATCTTACAATAAACGAGATACCTACAATTAGTAACTTAACTAGCGAATTACAAAACAGAAATATTATACCGAATTGTTCTAAAACGACATTGTGGCGTTTTCTACAAGCAAACAATCTACAAGGATCCATTAATAACGACGAAGAAATAATAGTAGTAGATTAACTTAATTTAGTTTATTATTTTTATTCCAAAGCATTTTGTACTTATATTTCTGTATATTAATAAATTATATTTTCATACAAAAAAGTTATTTTAATTTGGCTATTTTATTCAAACCTAAATATGTTCTAGTAAGGGTATACAATTAAAAGATAACATATTTGTATTTATTAAAACAAAACAAAAAATAAACAAAATACATTTTAACTTACAGCTTAAAAACAGAGTTTCTTAACCTGTGGAGCGCGGCTCCCTAGGGGGCGCTATTACTCTACGTGGGGGGCACTAACACTTCAAAATGAGAAAAAAAAACTATAATTGCTAATAAAAAAATGTAATTCACAGAAAGGAAATTAATTTTTATAAATATAAATGTATCAGTAGGTACTGTCAAATTCCAAATGAAACTATTAATAAATTCATCAGTACTAAATTAAAAGTATCTTTTATAATTATTAGTGACTTTCTTGGGCATGTCTCGCACAGCAAGGTTTTTCAGTAACCAAACCATTGCAATTCGAGAAATAGGATACAATTCACAGAATCTGGTACATTTCTCAGACAAATCTGGTACATAACAAAAATATATTTTGGCAACACTGCTCTTAACCAATTCTATATTATTTACTTTAACTTCTAAAATTCTTGAGTTTTATTTATACTATAATTATAATCCAGCACAAGGGAAACATACAATATAATATTTTTAAAATGTATTTTTAGTGATTAAGAATATTATTACATTAGGCTGACCATAGGTGCAGCATTTTGCTGTATTGTACAGCATTTTTAAAGTCTATCCAGCATTTGATTTTGTGCAGCAAATGTACCGCAAATTGGCATGGGTATATGTTCAGCGTAATGGTGTATTTGTCCAACAAAACGCCTGTAATACATAATTTACTGAAGTGAACATGTTATTTATCTTTAGCAAGCTACATGAGCATATCTATACTGTCGTGCTAGCAAGAAAGGTTCTATCTGTAAATTTAGCATTTTTTTTTTTTATTTCTGTGCATTTGTCTACATTTTATCTCTCCTGATACCAAAACGGAATGTCCTATCTGCATCGTAAAGGTACTAAAACGTTAACTAGTTACACAAAAAAGGTTTAAAAGATAATAAATATATGTCTGCAAAAAATAGTTAAAAACTTGATTATTTCGAAACAACAAATTTTCATATAGAACAAACAAGTTAGATTTAATTCTTTTAAGAATTCATGTGTGCTATAAAAACAATGTTGAAGGAGAAAATGAGTTACAAATTTCTTAAACTTACTTTTTCCATATTGTCGAGATATTTAGATTCAAAATATTTTCAAAAGGAATTGTAGAATGAAACATCTAAAGAATTTTTTTTAGTAATTCGAATTCTAGATTTCGTGAGGACTATGTCTTGTCCAAACCGGGTGTTATAATTGTGTACATCTTTGTGTTTTTTTAAGTTATTTAGGTTATTGTACAAGATGTACATCCAAGGCAGCGGTAACATTTTATGTTTTTTAAATATTGCTTGGCATTATTCAATAATCGAACTGCAATTTTTTGTAGGACGAACACTCTATGCACATTTTAGAAATTTCCCCCTCAATAACACACCACAAGCAATATTACTATGGAAAAGTAAAAAATATACAGTTTTTAATAAATGATTGGGTAGGCATGATTTTAATTGACGCATAACAAATTAATAATAATAATAAATGACCTTATTTGCACGTTCATATTTACATGTGCCTCTCAAGGGCAAGATTTAGCCTAGAGCTACTCTTGCATCTAACCCTCTGACATATACCTACATGTATATACAACAATGAGATTATAATAAGATATGAATACAAATGAAATAAACTAGAAAGTAAAACCATATGAAATAAAAAGCAAAATAGATAACAAAAATAAAATTTAGTAAATAAGTAAAACACAGAAAAATAAAGCAAGTGACTATTTAGTAACCTTGATGGATCTGCATAATTACTAAAAATGTTGCGTCAAGTAATTTTTGAGATCCAATGATTTGGATCAAATCCACATTTAAATTGTTTTTCACTACAATTAAGTTACATTTTTAATTAATTTTTTTGTAACGTTTTTTCATTATTGTGAATTATTAAATGTGTTCGTAAGCCAGATTTGTGATTAAATCCTTTTGAACAAATGTCACATATAAATGGTTTTTCATTACTGTGAATTACTAAATGTCGATGTAAACTAGATTTCTGATTAAATCCTTTGGAACAAATGTCACATTTAAACGGTTTTTTATTACTGTGAATTACTAAATGTTTTCGTAAACTAGATTTTTTATTAAATCCTTTGGAACAAATGTCGCATTTAAATAGTTTTTCATTACTGTGATTTATTAAATGTTGTTGTAAATTATATTTTTGATTAAATCCTTTGGAACAAATCTCACATTTAAATAGTTTTTCATTATTGTGAATTAAAATATGTTGTTGTAAATTAAATTTTTGATTAAATCCTTTGGAACAAATGTCACATTTAAATGGTTTTTTATTACTGTGAATTACTAAATGTTTTCGTAAACTAGATTTTTGATTAAATCCTTTGGAACAAATGTCGCATTTAAATCGATTTTCATTACTGTGATTTATTAAATGTTGTTGTAAGTTAGTTTTGTAATTAAATCCTTTAAAACAAATGTTACATTTAAATGGTTTTTCATTACTGTGAATTATTAAATGTTGTTGTAAATTAGATTTTCGTTTAAATCCATTAGAACAAATTATACATTTAAATGGTTTTTCATTGCTGTGAATTATTAAATGTTCTTGTAAATGAGATTTTCGATTAAATCCTTTGGAACAAATGTCACATTTAAATGGTTTTTTATTACTGTGAATTATTAAATGTCTTCGTAAACTAGATTTTTTATTAAATCCTTTGGAACAAATGTCGCATTTAAATAGTTTTTCATGACTGTGATTTATTAAATGTTGTTGTAAATTATATTTTTGATTAAATCCTTTGGAACAAATCTCACACTTAAATGATTTTTCATTACTGTGAATTATTAAATGTTTTCGTAAATTAGATTTTAAATTAAATCCTTTGAAACAAATATCACATTTAAATAGTTTATCATTATTGTGAATTATTAAATGTGTCTGTATGTTGGAAACGTCATTGATTTTCAGAGAAACTGTTCTTGATCTTTTTTTTATTACATGAATAAATTGATGCCGAGAAAAATTCATTTTTGTCATAAATCTTCCACAAAATTCACAAACCACGAAGTCTTTCCCAAAATGTTCGTCGATATGTTTCGATCTTGATTTAGGAGAACGAAAATCTGCAAATAACAAAATTCTGTTAAACAATTTAAAATTAAATAATTTAACAAATTACCAATATTTTATTAAGAACATATTGTATAATTGTCATACCTATTTCAAATATTGTAAAAATTTTATAATGGTACAATCGCCTGTTCCATGAGATTGTCAAAAAATTATTAAATATGGCATATTAAATCCAACGCAATTCGATAGCCACAGGCATATAAAATGTAAGATTTATATAATTAATATTTTTTAATGAATTTTTTATTTTATAGCCGAAATCATCATTTCAAAAACTGGTTCCAAATTCATATTTAAAGTTCCACACACTGTGGTCTGATTACCTTTCTCGATTTAAATAAATAAAAGAAACTAATGCATTCCTTGGAGATACTTTATTTTGCTTAAAGTGTATTTTAAATTGCCTCTATAAAATCATATTTTTGATATAAACAAATGTTGACCAAAATGAAACTCGTCATCTCGTCAGTTTCTAGAAGTGACAATATTAACGTTCAAATTAATGATGATGATCAAATAGAAATAATTCAACAAAAAAATATGGAAAAGATCAATAACAAGGATAATAAAATACAACCAGTTGTTGTAAAACCAAAACAAAAAAAAATATAGAGAGGAAAGAATTTTACAAAAAATATTTGGAACTAAAAGAAAAACGCAATTTTACAAGAGAGAAATAAATTGTTAGAGCAAATAATTGAAAAAAATATTCATACTAATGCAAAAGATCTAATTTAATATTTATTTATTTATTTATTTATTTATTTAGTTTACCTATATCTTGATTTCATTATGTTTGTTAGAATTATATTTTGATTTTATCCTTTTTTGTTAAAATTATTTTTTGACTTTAAGGCTTTGGATATTAAATGAAATAATGCGTTTATTAATTAGTTTTACTTTCCTATCTGTAGACAGATAAGGAATCATAATTTTTTTTCGACCTCCAGTTTTCGACGAATTTTTCCGTTTTGGGGTCCTCTGAATCCGTTTTGACTATTTTCGGGATGATGTCTGTATGTGTCTGTATCCACCATAACTCATAAACCGATACAAAGAAAAACACCAAATTTTAAACTTACGCTTTATTCTGACGTCTAATGAACTGATTAGATTTTGGGCAAAGTCAGAACATCTGGGGGAAACTTTATAGGTGGTCATTTTTATATTTTATGGAGTATATCTATTATTTACGTTTGAAGAAGAAAATTCTTCAAATAAAAGTTACAATATTATTATCAATATTTTTTGTTCTACCTATACAAAATTTTGAGAAATTTGACAAAATGTAAAAAAAATATTTTTTTATAAAAATTGTTTAAATAAATAAATAAATTTTTCTAAAATGGACCGTATTCGAGATATTTGAGAAAATGTGTAAATTTCGAGTTTTGAAGAAAACTCAAAAACTGATAAAGGAAAAAACATTAAATTTTAAGTTTTATTTCGGCTTGACGTGAAATTATTAGATTTTGGACAAAGCGGAACATCTGGGGGGGTACTTTATGAGAGGCCGTTTTTATATTTTATGGAATATATCTGTTATTAATGTTTGAAGAAAAAAATTGTTCAAATAAAAGTTAGTTCTAATATTATTATCTATAATTTTTGTTTCTTGTCATATTTTTTTAAAATGATTCGAATTCGAGAAATTTGACAAAATGTGAAAGTTTATGTT